CATTACCACTCATTATCACTTAAGAGTTAGGATGAGATATTGAATGCAAATGAAAAATTCTAAAGAACAATGGTCCATTTCTCGTAATCTTGCATTATCATGGGAATAAACCTTGATATTCCTAACAAATTTACATATGGAGTGGAGTGGAGTATAAATTCATTCTCATTAGTAGGGTCGTAGGGATGTCAATTCGGTTTGGCGTTTTGGTTTGCCCTCGGTTTGAACCGGTTTCGGTTTGAAGCGGTTCGGGTTGAAACGGTTTCATTTAGCCAGCGGGTCGGTTTGGTTAGGTTCTGATTAGTAACGTTCGGTTTGATTTCAATTTATTTTGGTACAATTTGAATTCAGTTCGGGTCAACGGCGGTTCAGTTTATAAACAGTTCGGTTCATTATCGGATCGGTTTGAAAAGGGTCGGTTCAGGGGCAGTTTTACACGGGTCAACGACGGTTCGGTTTATAAACGGTTCGGTTCATTATCGGATCGGTTTGAAACGGGTCGGTTCATGGGCGGTTTTACCCGGGTCAACGGCGGTTCGGTTTATAAACGGTTAAGTTCATTATCGGATCGGTTTGAAATGGGCCGGTTCATGGGCGGGTTTACCCGGGTCAATGCCGGTTCGATTCATATCGGATCGGGTCATTATCGGATCGGTTTGAAACAGGTCGGTTCAGGGGCGGGTTTACCCGGTTCACTGCCGGTTCGGGTCATATCGGATCGGTTTGAAAAAGGTCGGTTTAGAGGCGGGTTTACCCGATTCAATGTCAGTTCAGTTTATATCGGATTATATACAATTACACAAATCCTCAATTATTCAATTAATCTATATCATGCTAATATGTTATATTTCAAGTTTGGTTATATTGTTGTTGTTGTTTATTAGATATTAATATTATTATTATATTAGTATATTTGTCTAATACAAATTTATAAGTTATTAATGTATTATTGTTTCATTATCAATTATTATGAGGCTATCCGCTTCCTATTAGATTGTTTTAAAGATCGCATCATGACCATTATTTAATGAGTTGTTACTTTGAATACAATAAATCGATTCAGACATTGTATACAATTACACAAATCCTCATATATTCTATATCATGATAATATGTTATATTTCAATATTGGTTATACTCTTGTTGCTATTTATTAGATATTAATATATTATCACATTAGTATATTAGTTTATTACAAATTTATAAGGTATTAATGTGTAATTGTTTCATTATCAAATATTATCAGACTATCAACTTGTTGTTTGATTGTTTTAGAGATTGCGTCATGACCATAATTTGATGAGTTGCTACTTTGAATATGATAAATCGATTCACACATCGGATTATATATAATTACACAAATCCTCATTTATTTTATATCATGTTAATATGTTATGTTTTAAGTTTGGTTACACCGTTGTTGCTGTTTATTAGATATTAGTTTATTACAAATTTATAAGGTATTAACGTATTATTATTTCATTATCAAATATTATCAAGCTATCAGCTTCTTGTTTTGATTCTTTTAAATATCGCGTCATGACCATGATTTGATGAGTTGATAATTTGAATACGATAAATCGATTGTAATACCCGAATATTTTAAGATTTTATCAAATATATTTTATGGCTAAAATTTAATATTTAAATTATTTTATGAATTTTTATACTCTATATTTGTTATCCTATAAAAATTATCTTAAACCCTAATATAGTTATCAATTGCTTTTAAGGAGTAAAAAAAAAATAAAAAAACTGCCATTTTCTTTTATTTGTTATGCGTGAGTTTTATAAACCAAACCCATCTTTATCCTTAAATTCATATATGGTTTATGCTTTGATTCCTTTTATTCGCCCATATTTTTCGAAAACATTTATTTTGCTAATACTGTCAATTTGGTTCACGAAGTTTGGTTGTGCGATCAAATATTTTAATCTACAAGGTAATCACACTCGTCGTTTTAGAGTTGCTTGCTTACTCTTATCATTATATGTAATCACACCATAAATCTTTGGAGTCGTATGTTTGTATTTCATATTATTATGTGTAAATTTTATAATTGTTATTCGTGTGATCAAGATTGTATATATATGATTAATTATTATGGTATTATATTATTTAATTGGATATAAGTATCGTATTATTTTTGTTGTTTATAATTGATTATGCTAGGGTTTTAATGTTGTTGCTCTAGGGAGTATTGTTATCGAGGTTTTAGGGTTACTAATATGATTATTTTTGGGTGGTGAGTTAATTATATTTGGCTATTAGAATTATTGCCCTATAAGAGTTGAGATATATTATGATTGAATCGAGTTCGAATGGTTATATTATTTGGGAACATGTGCCATTATTGAGATATTATTGTTTATTAATCAGTGAATGGTTATTTGATCGATGTATGAGATCAAAAGGTTGAGAATTATTATTTTGTTCTTGGTTTGAGGCTCGGCGTTATAGACCTTAGTCCTTGGCATGTTGGTAAGGAGATAATAATCATCAGTTAAGAATGAGGTACAATCTTTATTTATATTTTCAATGGTCCCCTACAGTGGGATTTGACCCATATTGGTCATTGTTTAAGGTGTTTTCTGGTTATTAAGAATTCAAGTTTTTATATTTGTTGGTTTGTTATTCGAATTACCCATGTCCAAGGTTAGGTATAAAACAAAGAGCATGGCACACTTGTGGGATAAACCATTTAATTGAGTAAAGGTTCGTATTATTATTCGAGGTTGGGTTTAATTTGACAAAGGTTATTTTTAGAGTACAATGTGTAATGTAGTTTAGAACTACATTGTTTAATTAAGTTAGTAATGCTAATTATTCCATTATTCTTTATATTATGATATGTGGTGATTACTCAGCTTTTTGCTGACGTGTGTGTGTTGTTTTGTTGTGCTACTCGTGTTTGCGGCCATGTCTTTTTCTTATGGTGGCCCTGCGACGATTTATTTTGGAATTTGTCCTTAATGGTGAGCAGTCAAGTTTGTCTAAGGAGGTTAATCAAGTGATCGTAGCTAAGGAGCTCAAGTGTTTCGAGTAGTCTATTATAACAAGTTTGTAAAGTTTGTATAAATAGCTCACCTAGTTTACTGGGTTGTAATTATTGAGATTTTGTAAGCCTTAGCACTTGACAAGTTGTTGAGTGTGGCGGTAATACCTCCGATTTAGGTGTATGCTTTCGCAGTTTTTATTCAAAGGTTGTTTATTTTTCCTTTATTTATTATTTATTATTAGCTAGTAAAATGGGGGTGTTACATCGATAATTGAGGAAGTAGAAGTATTCAATTAGATCATAATCAAGTATTTTACGTTTTAATAATCAAATACGTTTATCGATTATCTGTACATACTAATGATAATATGATACCATACATTATTATTTATTACATATGCAGATATACTCATCATATACTAATATACATTAACTTTGTCGTATTGAATCAATTCCAAACATTTGTGTTTCTTAATTCTTACAATTTATAATTTATATAAGGTTAATCATATTTTAAGAGTAGTGTTTTTATTAGTACATAGTTGTGGATTAATTTGTTTAGATAATTAAGTCAAACAACCCCTGAAAGGCCGAATGGAAGAAAGTCACGAATGATGAAACCATTATAGAGTACAAGTACAAGCTAAGTGTACAACAAAATAAGTATTGTTTGAAGCCACCTTTTGCAATCAATAACTATATACTATAAGACACACCAGCAATGACACGTGTCATCTCCTGGTGTGTCCTTATTTATTTATTTAAAAAAAAAAACATATTTTAAAAAGATCTTATACTAAAATAATGACTGTCTTTATTAATATAGTAATTACTTAAAAAAAAGATTTAGTATATTCCGTATCTTTAAACATACAAGATTGACAACTATAAATATAATAATAATAATAATAATAATAATAATAATAATAATAATAATAATCAGATTTAACATATTTTGTGACATTTTGTACTACAAGAAAAATTATCAATGTTATGATTTATCTAAATATTTATCTAATTATGTAACATTAACTTTATACTAAAGAGCAAATTTTGCTTGCTAAAATAACTTATTTCAATATTTTTTTCCCTTCCCATTTATTTCCTATTATTATGGAAACTCTAAATAAATTGTTAATTTTAACAAATATGACAAGAACTAATATTTAATTTGATTAAAACAAGTATGACTTCATAGTGAGATTTCCACTCGCCAATTATTTTCCCCTGCGTGTTGTAAATTTTTTTTTATCTGTTATTGTGTGAAATAAGCTAAGGTTTGAAGTATGAAACATTATACCCCTCTATTTTGTAATTGAATGAAAACCACACATGCATTGAGACCGTGGTATCTATATGATATATTTAAATTCATGTATATATCACAAACATTAGTCAATGTGGTATATGTAATTTATGCAAAAGTTAAATTGAGGAAATTGACAAAGATTCTTATATTTACATGGGTACAATGTATACCGAAATTACTTTTTACTCATTTTGATAAATATTGTTCATTTAATTATCAATTGATCAAGAAACACTTTTGGGTGTATTTTGCTCCTTTGTGTAAACAATAATTTACATAAAACTGTAATTAGTGATATGTGTAAGATGTTTTGTTAAATATTGTCAAATTGATTAATAATAACTTTCACAATAACCGTGCATGGCACGGGATCTAAACTAGTTAAGATAAACTCTAACCCGCATTTATCTTGAAAATATCAATAATAATAATAATAAATAAATAAATAAATAATAATAATAATAAAATAATAATAATAATAATTAATAATAATAATAATAAATTAACAATAGAATTGTGGAATATAATATATACACATATATATATATTTATTATATTTTATTTAGTCTTTTTAAGGAAAATTATTTGTTTGGTAACCTTTAAAAAAATTTATTTATTATTTATTTATTTTGTTTGGTAACATTTTTTTTTTTTTTAAAAAAAAATTACTCAACAAGACAAAAAGCTTTACCCCAAAAAATTATTAACCTTCCTCCTCCACTTGCATATAACCGGGAAATTCCCAAAACAATGAAAATAGTACTAAACAATCTTTACCCAAATATGTCAGGAAATTTTCAAAACTATCATACAAATTCAACCAGGGAATTGAAAAATGAAAATAAATCAAAACCCTATTCCCCAAATATTTCCAAATCTCGCCTTCTTCTCTACAGCTTTGCTATATAAATCAAAACCCCAACCCAGAATTACTGCAATTGTGACCCTGTTCTTGTTTCCCAGCCAGAGAGTTTGTGCTGGGGTTTATGAGGGTGTTACTACTAGTCAACTTGCTGCTGCTGCCGTGACTGCTAATCATCCTGATTGTGCTTCATTCAGTTAATTTTCTGGGCTTTGCTTAATTGTATTGTTTTTCTCGATTTGTTTGTGTTTTGGGTTCGATTGTTTGATTTGGTTTAATGTTGTTGTAGTTGGCGGCAAGTATTGTTTTTCTCGATTAAGGTGTTTGATTTATTTTTCTCGATTTTCGGTTTTTTTTTTTTTGATTTACAACCTGTAACGAAAAAGCTAACCATAAAACACTTACTCAAAAGTAACTGGTCACTTAGAATATGTGAAGAAAAAATAAACAAAAAAAAAAAAAAAAAAAAAAAAAAAAGAAAAACAATTTCCACCCAACAAAATTTGCATTATACAAGTTACAAAATTTCCACCCAAATGATTTCGTTTTTTTTGGAACACTTGATATTGTTGATTTTGGCGGTTGACATTAAGCAAGTTTTATTGATATTCCTCCTAAGTTAAATTATATTTCCCCTTTGTAGCTTATTCACGTTTACAGCGTCGCTGCACTCTTCACCCCCTCCCTCTCTCTCTCCTCCATTGAAGCGTACTCTGAGTTCTCCATTTAAGCTTCTCCTTAGCTTTCTCTCTCCATTGAAGCAGCTTATAAGGTAGGATTTATTTTAATCATCGAACATCAATTTATCAACTTAGGGTTTAATTTCACACTGTCCCTAATTTAATTTTCATTACAGTCAATTTTAATTCTTCTAAGATGGATTATTGAACTAGTAGTTATAATTACTCAAGTTTTGAAAAATTATAACGAATGATTTCGTTGCTAGAATTATGCTATTCATATTATTAAGCAAGAAAAATCCGAGCTTGATTTGATTTTTGAATCAAATTTGGTAGCAATTTGCAAATGTATTGCAGCCTGTTGTTTATAATTCTTTAATATTTGTACGGAACTATGAAAATAAACCTTTTTTTACCGGGCCGAGGGCGGCCATTGATTAGCCAGGACCTCCATTGTGATGGGGTTTTCCTGTTTTAGTAATGTGTTAATATTGGTAATGTGTTAATGTGATGGGGTTTCCCGGGCCGAGGGCGGTCATTGATCAGCAATTGGTAATGTGATACTATTTCAGGTGATATCGTGTTCTATTGATTATCAACATAAAAGCTTATCTGAATTTGAATTTTCAGTTTTCCGGGCTTTTGAGTGAAGAATGGGTAAAGCTTCAAGGGACAAGAGGGTCTGTACATTTCCTTTGGTCTTTTTTTCCCATGGAATATGAATGAATTCAGGTGTTCTTCATTTAATTTTTGTTTTCGTTGATGGTAGTTGTTTTAATCTTGCAGGATATTTACTACAGAAAAGCAAAAGAAGAAGGATGGCGAGCTCGAAGTGCCTTTAAGCTGCTTCAAATTGATGAGGAATTCAATATTTTTGAAGGTACCCTTACTCGATTGTGTACTCCATATAATGTAGCTCTATTAGCGTATCTGCTTTCATTTGGCTGTAAAAAATTTGTTTTGGAATCTGTAGGGGTGAAGAGGGTGGTGGATCTTTGTGCAGCTCCTGGTAGCTGGAGTCAGGTTATATTTTGTTGCTGGACTTCTGTTACTCGTATCTATTTTACTTCACTTTGTCTATGTTAGTAATCTTAAGGTGATGCAAATATAAAATTAATAGTGCAAGGATATCCTAGCTTAGAGTGCATTTGATTTTGTCCTCTCTAACACAAAGTATGAAAAAAACTTATGTGCACATGGCCTAATTTTCTGGCTTCTGGGCTGATATTAATTTAAAATTCCTAACATATCCACTGGCATAGAGCTGAAAGTAATGACGGGCTCCTCTGTATATTATAACTTCAGTTTCATCTCTCTAACTTGCTTATTGCACTTCTAATATTTGGAAACATGTACGTTTTACCTTTGTCACTCTTTAATGTCAAGGCCTACATATTCAAACTATTCAAGTCTGATCAAAATTTGTGTGAATTCTGTGAGAATTACATACTTAAAGTCTTATTGTTTGCATTTTGCTATGTAGGTATTGAGTCGGAAGTTGTATCTCCCAGCAAAGCTATCACCTGATTCTAGGTGTGTTTCCTTATCTAAATTTGGGTTTTCTTTAGGGCACATATATGGTTGTTGTAACTATTAATTATTTGACCGGGGAGCTGGATGGTCTTGTGACCCTTTTTTCTTAAATATTAATCGAGTCTTAGTGTCTCTTACACAAATGGATGAGTTTACATCAAATCCTGTGCATGGCTGCTCTTGAGATTAGCTTCTTCATCTTTGTCAAAGAAAGCAATCATGTAGGCATGTAGCTCATGATATGTGGCTCATTTTGCTGTTCCTTCATGCCTCATGTATCTGTCGGTGAGATTTGGAGTGGAAGGGAATTGCATATTGCTGCAGTCCAATACTAATTGAAAACCTTTTGGCTTAAACATGTCATGATGATCTTCACATGGAAATTACATGCTTTGCATCATAGATGAAACTAGTAATTTGAAATAAAACGCCACAAGTAATGATAAATGTCTTTGTTGATGAAGTTGGTGACTGGGGATTCAGGTTTTCCTTCATTTTTCATGTATCTACATTTTAAAATCTATGCTTTTAAATACTTTTTACTAAAATGTATGGGTAATGCAATTTGGTTTGTCATTAAATATTGTGCATAGGGCTTTAATGTAAAGAGTCCAGGTTGAATTTGAATTTCCACATTCAGGATCTGGATATTTCAAATTCAACCATGAGTTTGATGTACACAATTTTTTATTTATTTATTTTTTTCTATATGTAATATGTAATGGTAATTGTAGTTATCTAGCAGATTGCACACTCTACCAGGGTATTATCTAATATCTACTACTAGCCAGTTTGACCAAGGGGGATTTTTGAACTTAATCACATACTTGTATATAATGTCCTCAATGGCTCAACCCACATGGCTGTACAAATCAATCACTTTCTTTTGAAAAATTTACTTTCCTTTTTGGCCATGATCAACATACCTATTTGTTTGGTGCCATATTTCGTTGATTGATACCCATCGGTAGGATTCCTTCCCAGCTAAGCTCCTAAATTTGATCACACAATTAGATCATGTTTAGACTTGGAGTCTTTGACCACAAGAAGAGTCATGTTTAATTATGCACTTTTGCAAGTCCCTTATGTCAAGTTTAGAGGTCAATTTGAGTGTTGAGCTGTTGACTTTGCTAAGAACCTAAGGCCAAGTTGATCTCATATTTATTATAATATATTCTTTGTGTCCATTCTCTATTGACTCGTGTTATAATTAAGCTAGCTTATAACCCATGGAATGCTTGTAATTGATTGGCTTGACGTTACAAACAATTGATGTACTCCTGACTACCTTGTTTACTCGACTCACCTTCCTTATAGAGTCATCCTTATTCAGATAGACATCTATTTCTTTTCTTGAATGGGCATGGACTTACTAATTTTGTCTAACGAAGTATTATTTTTCTGTCACCTATTGGACCCACTAGACACTAGCTTTAATTCACCTTCCATCCCCCAAAAGAAGTCCCATTTGACCCAAAAATTGTGTTCCTGGATAAATGTGTCTTTTCTCCACTATCTATTTTTATTCACTTTTAATCAACCAAACCCCGTTATCTTCTTTTTTATTCACTTTTAACAAACCAAATCTCATTATCTTGTGTTTCTATGTCCACCTTTAATCAACCAAGCCCCACTATTATTATTATTATTATTATTATTATTTTTTTCTTTTTAATGAACCAAGCCTCTTTTCATTTCTCTTTCACTTTCCTAATAATGTGTGCATAAGGCAATTGAGCTTTTATTTGGGAGTTGTGGGAGTATTTAAAAATCCCACTACCGATAATCTATTTTCATTAATTATAAAAAAAAAACTTTACTACTAATCTCCACACAATAAAATACTAAATCAATTAAATTGCTTAAAACTATTTGCGGGTCAAAACGAGTCAATTAAATAAGGAGAGTAATGTCTTAGCATACATGTCTTTGTAAACCAAATTTTCTGTCATGTACATGCCACAAAGTTGGACCTAAAGCCAATTTTGACTTTTGAGAATGGTGTAGGCCATCCATGCCCAGACTAAAGGTGGCTTTTTTTTTTTTTTTTTTTTGTCCTTTGCCAATTAAGGACCAAATATAGAGTGTACAGAAAATGAATCTCCAAATAATCTTTTGAACTGGTCTGATGTCAGAGTTACCTAAGAGGTTTCTCGTACTCTTACTAAAGATCTTTTCCATCTAGATTAAAGCCTCGTACATGTAACAGCTTGAGAAAGGTGGATGCTTACTTCAGTTGTAAAAATATTGCAATGTGTGATTTATTCAATTTCTTGGACTCCAGATTATAATGACACTCATATTTTCAATAATTGTTCTACAGGGAATCCAACCCTCCTCTTATAGTGGCTGTTGATTTGCAACCAATGGCTCCTATAGAAGGAGTGATTCAAGTGCAAGGTGACATAACGAATGCTAGAACTGCTGAAGTGGTAAGGTTATTTTGCTCTTGGGGTTATGGTCTTTTTACACATGATGTTAAAAGTGAAGTAAGAATTGCAGTCCTTTGATTTTATATCTTTTATCAATGTGCGTTATCTGGCTATCTTGTGAAAGATCATGTTTATGAAGCCAGTCTCTAATTTCTTCAGTCAGGTTATGTATGTTTTAATGTTGTGTTGCCCATGAAGTTTTGAGCTTGAAGATTATCATAATATATGGGGTGTGGCTACTCTAGAAGCTGACGAGTGCTGATGGGAATGTATTGCATTCATTTCTCTAGAAGTTGCACTTTTAACAAGTATAATCATCAGTTATATATCTGGTTATGTGCTGAATTGTGACTGGAAAATTTCCATGCATGCTTCTCATTCCTTTGCATTGATAAATAATTGATCTTGGTCTTGGTAGTCAAGCTTGCATATGTTATATGATAATGATAGCTATTTGGTTTCAAAAGGAAGCCACCCTCTGAATGGCTGTACATTGAGGAAAAGTTCAGGAGTCAATGGCCTGATTATAGGTTTAGAGTTGCTGGCTTGATATGTATTTAGCTTCTTTTTTCCTTGTTTTGGTAGTAATTACCAATCACTGCTGTGCAATGGCACCAAAATAGCCATTGATCAACCAGTTTCTCCTTCATGCATCCTTTCAACGATTGTTTAAGATATTATGGGTATCAATAAAAGTTTTCTGTCAATACATTGTTTGAATTGTTGGTTGGTCATCTTTCAGCTAACCAATCATCTATTATATGCCAGGTCATTCGACATTTTGATGGGTGTAAGGCTGACTTGGTTGTTTGTGATGGTGCACCCGATGGTTAGCTTATTTCACTACTCATTTGCTATTTAAGCTATACAAATTGATTTTAATAGCCTAGTTTAATATCATATTCTGTATAAAAATAAAATGATTTTGTAATTACTGTTACTGGATTTTTGATGTTGATGTATGTAGTCTTTGTGATGCACAGTTACTGGACTTCATGACATGGATGAGTTTGTTCAATCTCAGCTCATACTGGCGGTAAGTAGTTTTCTTACCAACAGCTGCTGCATTGTCAAAGATAATTAGTTAGTGACTTGCTGGTGTCGATGACTAGATGTGAATTCTTCAGCCAGCTTTATGTTGATTAGACTGCTTATTCACCAATATTCATATATTCACTGTGTAGTGTGTACTAAGAATGGTTGTGGATCTTGTGATTGCACAGGATTGCTTTGTATGTTCATATATTTTTTTCTTTTAAATTTAAAGACGGAAAAAAGGTCAAGCTTCTTAGCAAGCCTGTTGATTCTAAACTGCGTTGTTCTCTAATTAAGGTCATGACTGATTTAAGTGTTCTAAATACAGCATTGATTAACCTCAAATTTTGCTGACTTATAGAATACTCTGCATGTAAATCACAGAATCACGAGAAATTTCCTGAAGTCTGTCTATATCTAAGGAGCCTTAGCATTTCTCCTTCAAGTTTTATTTTAAAAAATATGATAAAATAGTATTTATGCTATATGCATTTAGCTTTATGTTAATTATCAGAGAACTGATCAACGCAATTATAATTATCTTTTTTTCATACTGACCTTGTTTCAAATTAATCTGATAACAAATAGATCAATAGCCCAGAGGACGTTGTTCTGCTTACATGTAGGTTCTTGTTGTTCTCTTCATAGCATGGCTATCCTTTTCAAACTGGGCCCGTGGAGAAGCATTTGTATTAGCACAGTATCTTCTATTCTATTATTACTCCACAGGGAATGTTGCTTAAGCACCTTAGGGTCTCATGAATCTCATCTATATGTTTAATCATTAATATAGCTTTTCAAAGAAAAATGAAAAGTCTGCTTAAATGTTATGTCAATTGTTTGTCAGCTTTGAGCTTACTAAGAAAAGCTGAAGCTTCAGAAAGTTTTATAGATAAATATTATTTCTCTTGGGGATATATGGGTGGAAATGGGGCATGTGTTATGGATTTGCATCCTTTTGGTGTATTTTGTTTGTGTTAGTTCTTTTGGATGTGGGAATTGACTATCATTGATACTTTGCTTTTAGGGTTTGACAATTGTCACTCACATATTGAGGAAGGGAGGGAAATTTATTGCAAAGATATTCCGTGGCAAAGACACGAGTCTCCTATATTGCCAGGTGAGAACTTAAAAGAAATTATTTTAAGTGTTTATTAAAGTGTCTGGGGTTTTGAAGCATGTCTTTTAAGTTTCAAATTAGCTATCATTGTACTTCAGATGCCAGAGGATTTTTTGTACCATTACTATGGTTGCTTATGCATATATGTTGATACTTAGAATCGGCTAAATCTTGGTGACTTCATGTCTAACATATACTTCCTTCGTTCTTTTTTACTTGACTTGTTTCATTTATCACGCTTGCCCATGCAAAACTTTAATGATCAATAACATTAAATCTTCATTAGTAAAAATTATAAAAGTTATATGTTATGATATTACTTAGTGAGACAAATATAACAAGATCTCACATAAATATGTTTTTCCTTACATATAACTCACAAAAGACGGTCAAAGGAGTGGTGAATAGTGTAAAAGTTAAAGCGGGTCAAGTAAAAAAGAACGGAGGAAGTATGTTATTTCTGTCTTCTGAGTTTTAATAAAGAGGGATTGTCAAAGTCCAGTGGTTGATCAACTGTTACTGGTTATAGCTTACCCAATTAATCTGAGCCTCTAAAGCGTATAGAATCCAATCAATCCATCATTAGCCAGGCTTTACTGCTTTTGACTTCTAACCTCCATGAGTACTTTAGGAGACTAGAGCCCACTTTGAGCTTTTGACTCAGTTTTTACAATTGCCTTACTTTGTAATTTTCACATAATCTCTCATGCTATCTGTCCTTAAAACCATTATTTGAACCACAACCCTTCATTGGATCACATAGTTTGCGACAGAGATTAATTGCTTTTTTGATAGGGTAATAGGATGGAATGGGGTGGGATGAGAGAATATCTCAGTGATACTATCTTGTTTTTGTGACATAACGTAGTTTTATATTATTCTCGTTTTCATATGCTGCAGTATTGTCCACAAGATTCTGTTGATAGATTCGTCACTTTTATTCTTAACTTTCTCTATCATTTTATGGAGTAATTGTTAGATAGTTTCTTTGGGATCTCCGATCCTAATAATTGTGCCTTTGCATAACTTTATATAGAAATGCAATAATCTAAAATGTAGTATCTGTTCCTACATGTTCTATATGCTTTCTCCATAGGTTCGTTCCTTAATGTTCTTTACAGTGCTACTGTATTCTGTTTTTGGCAAAGAGTTTTACCATCATACCTTCAATTAGTCGACCACTGAATTTGTTCCTTAAGTTCGTTCCTTAATGTTCTTTACAGTACAATAGTTCAACAACGATTGTGGCATAATATGCTCGCCTAATGCTTTTAGTGAGAATTATGGTCTGACCTCTGAATTTTCCTTTCCTTTTGTTTCTGTGCTGCAGCTGAAACTTTTTTTCCCAAAAGTGACATTTGCAAAACCAAAAAGCAGCCGTAATTCAAGTATTGGTAAGGAAATTTATCTGATTCATTTTTAGTTTATTTTATCATTCATGTCATTGGAGATTTTCTTGCCTCTTTGGTATTGCATATAATCTTATATATACTAAGGCCTTAAGCATTTGACTATCATACCCATCCTTGTAATCAAGGATTAATTCAATTTTGTTGAAAAATTTAGACGTGATTACCTGTTTTGCTGACATCATTTTAACCAATCCATTAAACCAGCATTGAAAATACTACTGTGTTTCCAGCTTCTTCACTTGTCATATACATGAATGTTTGTAATAGTAAGTGGTGGGCATAGGAACAGTTTAGATGTTGGACTTTTCTGGATGTTATTAACATTAACAGATGATGGTGTCTATAGTTTATATTTGTATTTTGTAATTAAATAAAAGGGTTATGTTTTATCAGGATATATATTCTGGCAATTTCAAACATTTACCTAGATTTGATGCTTTGTTCCCTTTTGTATTAATTATAATACTTCCTTTGTTCTTTTTTAATTGTTACATTGGAGTTATCACGCTTGCCAATGCACATCATTAATATCTTTAATTATACTTTAGCAAAAAATATAAGAAGTTAATATTGTAAAAGTATATATCGAGACGAATCTAACAAGACCTCACTTGACTACGTTTTTTGTAACGTATAAATCACAAAAGACAGTCAAAAGAGTGTGTGCATAGTATAAATTTTCTAAAGTTGCGATTAAAAAAGAATGAAGTAGTATTGCAGGACATGATCTTGATTTTTTCTGCCCAAAAATACCTTAGATATTCTGGTGCTTAAGATATCAAAGAACTAACTATCCAGAAATAATTGTTTTGCAGAGGCATTTGCAGTTTGCGAGGATTACTCTCCTCCAGAAGGTTTTAGTGAGAAGGATTTATATCGTCTTCTGAAGGAGGTTGGCAGTCCCTCAGGAGCGGATAATCTAGGTAAGCATTTCTTGTATCACCTGATCTTTGTGAGCACATATATGCTTAGATAAAGTTACTCTTCGATATTAATAACCATATCACCAACTGATGCTATTGGAACTGATATGTCCAAGGTATGTTGAAGAATGGTGGGATATGCCTTTTGTATGTACCTTCTCTGCTCATCGTCTATCTAACATATAGAATTTTACTCTATTCAAACACTTATTTGATCGTCTTTTGTTTTTTATATGCTAGGAAGATAGTCATGAGGGATTTTATTAAATTAGTCTCGATATCTACTTTTTATTAAAAAATAATATAGATTATCATATGGTATTATATATGCATTGACAAGCGTGAAACTCCGAGCGTTGCAGTTAAAAAAGGATAGAGGAAGTATATGTTTTAGGATTTATCACATTCATTGGTTCATTTACATTTTCATCAAATTGCACGGAATCCTATTTGTAACTCAGGTTATCCACTAATCACTATACAGTTGTACAATAGTTGAATATTATAAGCAAATTAAACAATTTGGCAAATTTAGTACTTAAAGTATCTTTACTCTGTCCAAGCAGGCAACCATGCATATTAGTCAACTAATAGTGAAGGACCAATTCACATCATTATTAGCTAACAATAATTGTACAAGCATAGTATTCTGTTGCCCCTTTATGAGCTTTTAATTGATAGATGAACTCGCACCTGTTTGCTTCATATCTTACTGCTATAAACTGCTGCAGTGGGTGATTTAACATGCCCAACAAAGGGTAATACTTTTCTCTATTGGCTTTTGGAGATCTTAGTAGATAGCCTGAGCCCGCTTAGTTAGGCCCTGTCACATCCCAAACCAAATCTTTCTTGGACAGATCCAGCTAACAAGTGGGTTGTTTTTTCAAAACAGCACCGATTCTGTGGCCCAACCGAGATTTGAAGTGCATTTTCAATCTTGTGCCCTCCCTTTGGCCATCTCTATTCCTGGGTATGACTTGAATCAATTATATCTACTTCTAAACCATAATTATTCTGTCTTTGAGATGAACTTACAAGCAGACATAAGAGAAACTTGCCTTGATTGCTGATAGTGGCTAACCGCGACCATCACTCTCTTTTCGAAACCTTAATCCATTAGTCTAATTCTCTTCATTCAAAGCTGTTAAATTCTCTGAAATCTTCATCATGACCTACTTATATGTACATGGTTAGATTCCTGACATTATCTGTCAATTTCGGCTATTCTGATTAGTCATTACCATGTTTGTATACCCCCTTTCAGTGCCATAACATAACACCCCTTCAGAAATATTATTGCCATCCCTTAGCTGTGTATCCTTGACATGGCAAAGTCAAGTCTGCTACTTGATATAGACAAGATAACTAATAGTTTTGATGTATTAGAATATTTGTTGGTCCACCAGTGGTTGGAGTGTACAAAAGGTGATTTAATTACAAGGTGCCCACACTCCGTACCTATCTTGCCTCCAACAAGAGCTCCTTTATCCAATAATAGTCCTTTAGAAACATAGTAGACCCATTTTCTATCCCTGTTTAATAATGAAGATGAGAAAAACAATCTACTTTTGGCATTCTTATCCATTTTTCTGATAGTAAGATATTGCCATATCCTGTTATCCATACAGTACTACACATCTTGACCGTGACATGCAGATGTATAAACCTTGTAATCATGATACAAAAGTAAAAACAGGAATTTTGGAGACATGCTTTGTGTAAAATTCATCTCATGGACATCTTTCTTATCTTCAATTTATTTGCAGACTCATCATCAATCTTACAAGGGTTTTTTATGTTTAACTCGTGTGTAACTTGTGTGTATTATTAGGGTCTTTCCGATATCACTGCTGGTATTCGGTTTTGAAAATTGTCAAGAAAAGACACTACTAGCCATTCTAGGTGCCAAATAATTAATTATACTCCTGTATAATTTTTGTATTTAAAATATATATGAACTAGCTTATGCTTACGAGCATGTGATTGGGCAATTCACGGTTTTTTTTTTTTTTTTTTTTTTTTTTTTTTTTTTTTTTTTTTTTTTTTACATGGTAAGCTGCTTGTCTCTAACTATAGCCAAGTGCACAACTAGTTTATTACCCACTACTTGTTTCCCTGCCCTTATCTTTATCCTGTGATCATAAGATTGGGAGCGCATAGGGGCAATCTACAAATCTACAAGCATTCCCTGCTTTCCTTTTTTAGTGAAACGATTGTGTATCTTTTATGTCTTGTTACAACAGATTGCAGCAGTGCTTGGTTAGAAGGGCCAAACAAGGTATATATCCCATTTTTGGCTTGCGGAGATCTAAGCGGATACGACTCGGATAGGTCATACCCATTACCTCAAGTTGCTGAAGGGACTTACAAGAGTTTAGATCCTGTACAGCCTCCAATTGCCCCACCTTATAAAAGGGCTCTAGAGCTCAAGAAAGCTGCAAATCAAGGAATTCGCGAACTTGGAAACCTATCCATTGATTCTTCTTAAAAATGCACTAATACGTTTGCATTTTGATTGAGGATCAATATCTTAGGTAGATGTTTAGTTAATTGGCTCCTTGATCACATTGCTATAGAACTATTTGTCGATCATTATTTTGTGCACTTAAAAGCATAATGTGCATTATCTTTCCGATTAATGTTATTTTTATTCATACTTGCATTTACACTTTCAAGTTCTTGTATTTATATAATTTTTTGATTTTGAAATGTTTATTCTTATAGGAATAGACTCCATTTATATTTCAATAAATCCATCATTATAACAATATAAATATGACGTAGACTTCCCCATCTCAACCTCACCGGTGGGAAGTGTCGTTGGAGAGTGAAGATGTAAAGACTATAAATGATGAAATACTTATCAAGTATAAAGTCTTGTGCTTGTACATTATATGGTGTAACATTCCCTTCATATCTAAAAACTCTTTAAGAATATCAAAATCATTTAATAGAATTATTAATACATACTTAGAAATACTATTAATGGTTAAAAATTTGCATCGATAATCATGTTCGAAAGAAGAATAACATTTAGAGCTGGAAAGAGTACACAATAATACAATATACCCTACCTCAACTTCTAACTTCAAGGAATAAGATTAAAGACAATAAAAAACAAATTGCCTTTCTCAACTGTTTACCATTAAATTTGTTTAAAGACAATAATACACAAAATCCCTTTCCTCCTCAACTGTTAACCACTAATTACATCAAAACACATTAATCAAAGGCGGTGCATTGAGCCCAGTAGTAGGCCCAACATAAGTAATTTAAAGTCATCCTTTTAACCATGTTTCCCATATGGTGCACCATATAACTATGTTTTGTTGAAGTATTAAGTTTTCATAATATTCCAATTGTACACTAATACTAGAAGAAATTTATGATTATTTGAAAGCATTGTATAAGATTCACAATGTTTGTTAGAGCATCATCAATGCTAGGCAAGTTCGAATATAAGAATCACAATTTTTTTACTAGACAAGCTTAAAGTTTCACCCCTCTCATGCTTTGCTGCCTCACTTTTCACTAAAATTACTATCTATTGTTCCTCGTGTCTTTTTTGTTTCCCATGGTGATAAGCTTGCCCAAACCGTCATTGTTTGCCATTGCCTTTGCCCACGTATCACTTTCACTTTTTTCTTCTTTTTTTTTTTTCTTTTGTTTTTTTTTTTTTGAAAGAAACTTTCACTTTATTATTGAACTTCAAAACTTTTTTTCACAACCTCAACACTTTGCAATTTTACACTATTTACATACTCCTTTTAGCCATATTTTGTGACTTTTAGATATTTTATAAAGAAAGGAAGTTATACTCATGTGTAATTTTTAAAAATTCATTTCAATATATAATTTCAATTTATTTTGTAGATTTATAATTATATAAATGATAGAAAATAAATTAATCATGGGATTCCAACCATCAACTAAGAATTTTGGTTAACTTGATCCTTTGCCATAGTATACAGAGTTAGCAAAACTTTGCCAATATATTTCACTATTAAAGAATTAATAGAGTTAAAAAAATAAAAAAATAAAAAAAAAAATAGAAAAGAAAAATGAGAGAGTAATAATTAGGGACATGTCACGACTGTATTGCAACATTTACAATCTATCTATCAATAACTATATATTAAAAGACACACCATCAATGACACGTGTCAATTTCTGGTGTGTTCTTAGTATATTTTTTTTAATAATTAATTACTAAATTTTATTTAAGGAAGTTATTTTAAAAAAAAAGTTTGTTTTTGTCAACTATATAAATGAGTAATAACATTTACCATTTTTTTTGTTGATACTCAATTAATTACGGAATAATAAGGAAATATATAATCTTTTTGAAGAAGATGTATTTTTGGTGAAATATTTTTTAAGAATATGATCTTGATCAAATATTTCATGTTACTTCAATTTTGTTCAAGATATTAAACAGTTTTTATATATTATGCTATAGATAAATTAATTTGTCAAAAGTAATTAAAATAACGCACTGTGCATGGCACGGGACCTAATCTAGTTACATATTACTAAAGTCGAAACAAGTAGGGACACTTGGCAGCAATATATTAAATTTTTTTCCCTCCAATAATACTTGCTTAAAAAATAATCTTCTCCAACAATACTTCCTTAAAAAAGGATTGTATTTAAACTATTACATATTCCTAACATGATAAAATATAAATTAAACTTTCTAAAATATTAAATTGTTCATTATATTTTTATATGTGGTTATTTATCAATGTACTTCATACTACTTACGCTTTAATAATTGGTGTGTCGAGTCCTTAAAAAACACTTTTTATAATTTATCGTCAATAACATTATTGTACAGCCGTGTATTTATTGCACGGGGTTTAACCTAGTTTATAAAACATTCAAATGTCATCTTTTTCTTAAGAAATAAAATACTGGAATTTTAGATAATCACTTTGATTAAATCAAGACAGTATAAAAAGGATCTTGTTAATGAGTGCCCCGGAACATTACATAATTAATTAATATGTTACCTAAAATAATACTTCATATTAAGTTTGGAATGCATATCAAATTCATACGTCGATCATGTAATCAATGCTTATCTTACTTTGATATTTTCATTTTAAATCCTCTTATTTAACGCCCCAAAAACTCTTATTAACTTTTGCTTATAAAAAAGGAGGCATTAAAATACTCTTTGAGACACACTCATATTCAGTATGAAGAGACATAATTACAAACTTCCTTAAATAACTGATGATGGGTAACCACTGCACATGGCTGGAAGTGGAAGTAGACCGAGAATTACACTTGGATTTACTCACTTCCAAGAATTACACTTGGATTTACTTTTTTTTTTTTTTTTTTTTTTTTTAAGATGGATCACGGAAACTCTCTTTAGGGTCAATGTTTTCGTTTCCGAAACTCTAAATATTTCTCCGAAACTTTAATTAATATTATCGCTTAGAGATATGGATTTAAAATTGAAAAACCATTTTTCCACATAAAAATCTGATCTTTTCCAACACTTAATCTCCTAAATATAGCCTAATTTATTGTATTTTTTTGCTTTCTTTCTTTATTTTTCTCTTTTCATTAAGAAAATATGTCAATCATATTGCCTTTTGAAGGTGATATTTCATACAAGTATTATTTTTTCGTGTCTACGTTTCCCATAATTTTAAATTTTCCGTTTCTCCAATTCTCCATTTTCATGTTGCCGTTTCTGTTTTTCATTTTCATGCAACCTAGATGGATTCACTATATTTTAGATATGTAAAGTTGAAATGAAAATCAAATCCTCAAGTCAAGGCTGACATTTATTTATCACTAAAAGATGCTCTTGCTAATTTTTTATTCTAATGGCATTAATCTCAAGAGAATCCCTATTATTATATTATATCTCGCCGTAAATACTTTTCATCTCATATTATCCTATGCTCCTCAATACGTGCATAAATTTCTCATTGATTTTAACCTTTTCTTTTTGTTTGTTTTTCCTTTATTTTGTATACATATCACGCTATATTGACATGGTTATTATACACTCGGATAAATATTGAAAAGTTTTATTCGGCTACCTTCAACATTTAAAAATACTATATTGCCAAATTTTTCCTCCTATGGTTTTATTTAGCTAGTTTGGTGGCTAACCGAGCATTATTAAACTAACTTACCCCTAGTTATTCACTAATCTAGCTGATTTTGGCACATAAACCAAGATATCTATGGGTCTTTTCAAATTTTAACCTCAAAATTAAATCTATAAGAGCTAAAATGACCCTGAAACCTTAAATGAACAATTTTATCAGCTTAAAAATTGAGACACGTAAAACGAGGCATTTATTACACGTAAAGTGAGGTGTTTTAGCAAGGGTTTTTTTTTTAAAAAAAAAGTTTAACTCCCTTAAGAATTAAAACAATCCTCAAAACCTTAGTTGAATGATAACACTACTTTCCGTTATAATTAATGGCTCAATTTACGTGCCGAGAAATTTGATTGGTTTTGGCGGGTAATTTTAGCTCTTATGAGTCAAATTAAGGTCATAATTGAGGAAAATGTCTCAAATCGCATGCCAAAATCAGCCAAATTACGGATTAAGCAAGGGTAGGTTTGAGTGTTTAGATGGGTAATAATCATCTAAATAAGGCTAATATGTTAATTATTAAAAACTTGGACAACACTAAAGAAATAAAAATTTTCCTACCACTATATGGAATATTTAAAAGTTGGAGGTCACCATAAAAAATTTTCCATAAATACTTCTACTAACTCATATATAAGTATTTTTTATAAGAAGTAGTATACTCTCCGTTCTAAAGAGTTTTTTTTTTTCCATTTTGTCTGTACACATTTGTCGATAATTTTTCAGCCATGAAACAATTTAATGGCAATACATTGGATTGTTGATAAACCTTGTATTTCAAAAAAGATTGAAAAACCTTATATGTGAAAGGAGATAAAAATAAAAAATAAAAACTTTATCTTTCGAAAGAAATTGAAAAGTCTGTCTTTCGAGAAAAAAATATTATAAACCTAAAAACGGAACAGAATGCAAAAAATAATCTAAAGAAATAAAAATTAAGCCTTTCTTCCAGTAAAAATTTGATGAAAGCCCCTTTAAAACTCAAGAATGAAGGCTATGGTTTAGGAGAGAGGAGAGATTACATATTATACAAGTAGTATTATTTAATGTCTTTTTTATTTTTTAAACAGTAAAAAAACTGTATTACACACTTTTTATTTTTTAAAAAAAAACAAGTTTAAAATTTGTATTACACACTCCTTCCACTATTCTTAATATATACTTCCTCCGTTATTTTTTACTTGACCCACTTTGACTTTTACACTATTCACCACTTCACTTTTGTCCGTCTTTTGTGAATAATATGTTAGGAAAAACATATTCATGTAGGATCTTTTTAAATTCATCTGAATAAGTTCTATTATAATATATAACTTTTATAGTTTTTACTTATGGCGAATTAAAGTTATTGATTATTAAAGTTTTGCATTGGCAAGCGGGAAAAATAAACCAGGTCAAGTAAAAAAGAACGGAAGACGAAGTTTTTTTTTTTTTTTTTTTTTTTGTTTAAAAATTTATAAAAATGAAATACGAACACTATACGGACACAAGGGGTATTTCCTATTTTAATTAAGATTATGACACGTAGTCTATCCATTCAAATAATA